TTACAATATTTCTAAACGCCATGAAAAGAAAAAGAACTATAGGAGTATGTTAAACTAAACACACCTCTAGCTCTTTCATATCTACATCGACCAAGAGGAAAAGAAGGATTTTGTGCTGTTGCTTCTACAGTAAACGTCAAATAAAATGAATTTCCATCCACAATTATTTCATTTTTAATTAACTAATCATTCTTTGTCTAAATAAAAATTGTAATAACATTCAATCTAGCCTGTCGACCTATTTCATTTACCATATTTCTTGCGTAGGTATAAACTCTATTTTAAAGATAATTAACTGTGTTGTAACTAATGATCATTAGAGTTTTGGATCAGTTTACAAGCAAGGGTCAATTGTTTACATAATTTTAAGCTTAAGTAAGTGATTTCATTGAGAAGAAAATTTCCTTCGCTGAATTATTTTTATTCAAATACTGAGTCATTTTATTTTCATACAGTTACTGTGCTTATGGATACAGTTTTAATAACTATGTAACTAGAGTAATATCATGTAATTATGTCCTATACTAGTCTGAATAAGTAGACAAAATAAAGATGGATATAACTCAAACTTTATTCACACAAGCACTTACAAATAGTGGAAGGATATAAAGTTCACTAGGCTAGTCGTTATATATATATATATATATATATATATATATATATATATATATTCCCAAATGGTAATGAATAAATAAACAACAGATCTTTGCGATCAAGGACTATCATAGGTTATATTTGAATGTGTGAAAAACAATCTATTACAATTCTTACACATTGAAATTTAATATTTGGATGTTATGGATACTTTTGCGTTTCAATCATTACATCATAGACTGACCTTAGACATCCATTAGAAACCAGGAAGCATCGGATAGATGTTTTTTCCTAGTATGGACAACCCCTACCAGTGCACATCCACGAAGTCAGAACCTCCAAATTTCGTCATCTTCGTAGTTCTAAGGTTATGTTCTCGCTACAACACTTAAAGATACCTCCTCCTGGATAGTGCATTCACACTACTGAGTCCCGTGATAGAACGAATCAGCTGAAAGTCTGATTTTCAGTGGTCAGTGATGTAATTTAATAAATTTTAAACTGAACTGCTTTCGAATTTGTACTTGTCCAACTAGCGTTGTGGTGATATGAACTTTCAAGCCGAACAGTGTATAATTCCAGATTTGAGCCCTTGGATTAAAGATGGTCTTTTGGTTGAGTATACTGTTATCTTGATTTTCATGATGATTCCGTCTCACTTATCCACTTAGTTTATACTTCTGACGTTTGGGTTTTCAGTAAAATAGATATTATTAGTTTTCCGTCCTATATCATTATTCTTGTCAATTCCCTATCATGTGCTAACATGAGGTATGTCAAGTTGGTATGCAATGTGGTTGTGGCAGTTAGCACGTTGTCTATGACTGACAATCGCGAATTGCCGTGAGATATGATTTCACCCCGTCCGAATCCAAATACATTTACCCACAGACGTTTAAATTGTAAAATCATAACCTATTTATTAACTACTCAACATTACTTGTGAAGAGTTCAACAAAAAACTTAGTTAAGACCATAATTTATGGAGGACCTTCGACAGTAACCAAAGTGAACCTGCGGAAATCCAACTAGCTAACTGGTTTGATAAAAGGTTATGAATTAGAATGTGGAATCCAGTTCAGGAACTAGTGTTAAAAGTAAGGGTTAAGAAATAGAGTTAGTATATTTATCACGAATTGACATCAGCCATGAAGCTAGGATGCCATTTAGCCGTATGAATGAGTCTCGCGCGAAAAAGCAAGAGACAAAATCTCAAATCCGATTGGTTATTCTATAAATTGTAGTTCTATTAAAAAATGTGAAAGAAATTAATCATTCCTAATGAACTGATGCACATTAAAAATAATAGCTTCTGTCACCAAATTGTATAATACCTGGAGATGATATAGTTTAGTTTCCAGGAAGCTGGCGCCTTGCTTGATTCATTATTGAGATGATGCATGAGGAACTATGTAAGAATACTGTAACGACTTGTGAATTATCACTGAACGATTGAAGGCTATCGATAATTAATCAAGGATTTCGTAACGTTTACATACATAGTTGTGTTTCTTAAGTGATTTTTCACTCAATGGAGTTTAAACAAATAAATACACCAAATCAATATCCTGGATGCGTAGCACTACAAGTAGCATTTAACTATACATCAAATTACTTGATGACACTAAACAAGTCGCTCATCTATTTAAAATAGCAACTAATGCATTCAGGTTAAAAATGCGTTTCAAGTTATTCCATCACTTGAACAACCAATAAACTCTCAAGGTTAAAACTATTCGAATATCAGCCTATCAATTATGTAGGTTAAAAGTTTTTTAAATATATAAACGCATTTGGCATGACAGACAGGCGTGGGCGTTATTTTTAATCACTACATCCTATCCACATGTGACTATGGATCAATACGTAAAACAAATTCCAAGTTAGACATATCCTAATGAATTAGTGATAATAGGTAGATCTATTATAAGTAACTAGTTGTCATGTTAAAAATTAATCATTATTGTAAGGAAAAAAACAATACTTCTAAAATCAGTAGTAAACAATGATATGAAAAAAGCACGGTGTCTAAAATGAATGAGCCACTTGTGTCATATAAGAAAATTTGCTTTCTTAGTTTAGATTTAGGACTAAATATTATTTTATCATTGATCTGTATGTATCTAGACGAATTAAATAGACTGATTAAATTTTACACGGACATTGCATCTTCAAGTTGGACCAGGTTGAACATCACAAAACTGTACTAAAAAGTAATCTGTGATATGTATTTTTTGTCCTTAAAATAGTCCCCTGGTTTTTTGGTTATATTTATTAATAAGATACATGAATATCATTATCTTTTCTAATTTAAGAAGTATTCAAAAAATTTAATACATTTAACATTATGACTTGACTTTAATTGATGCAGAAGTGAGTAGTGCAACAAGTAGTTTGTTAAATCGTAAAGGTAAAAATACTACTTTGTTTTCAGAGAGAAGTTCATTAAGAATGTGAATATTTTATAGAAATATAGCTAGTCACGTTTACTTTTTGTATAGACGTTAACATAAACCGGTGAACCATTGGAAATTAGGTCACACTACATATCCAATTATTTTAATCCACGACTATTCAGATGTGTACACTTACATGTCGAGACGAAATTAACCTCAGGAATATCAGTCTATGAATTAACATAAAATCATAGAACTATTAAACCAGAATTAGTCGGTCCACAATTCTCAACTTCAAGATCTTCAAACGAGCTGGGAACAAACGTTCTGTTCTATCTGATTTCAATAGCTAACTGACTGCATCCAAACCACGATTAAAATTATCTATAGATTATAAAAAGCTCCTGAAAACACTCGAGTATATGCCTTTAAAAATTTTTTACTTAAGAAATTGAAACAAATCAAACTAAAAACATCACCTAGTTTATAATATGATGAAATGTGGGCATTGGTGTATCTAATGGTCAGAGGATAGTTAACTACAACAATCGTTAGTTAGGAAAAGATTCGAACCTTGAAGATAATCGGTTCTCATAACAGTTCAGTTGCCAGAGTGGAAGGCCGTTTATACCAGTTGTTATTTTGAAGATCGCTGCCAAATTTATTATTTAATGAACTTAAATAAGTACATGTACAAGTACTTAGCTTCAAGTCATACCTTGTGATATGAGGATTAGTGTAAGTAGAACCATTTGGAGTTCGAATTTACAAGTTGTTGGTTCGAAGTTGAATGCATTAAAATGTAATGTTTCTTCATCAACTTCAGCAATTATTTGTATACACCTTACTACTTAGAATAGATGGAACGTAGCTAGTGGTGGAATCCGTGACTCGTGCACATATATGTCAACAAAGACTAATAGAAACTGAGTCCTGGATCACGCAAACGCTTACCCATGATGATATGTACAACTTTTCGTATCTATAAATGAGTACAACGTATGAAATAATAGTAGTAATAATGACAATAAGAGTAGAGGTTATAATGATCATACATATAGCTAAATAACAAAACAACAATAACCGAATATGATGACTAAAAAACTGGTCGAAAAGGAATAAACATCAATGAATCAATACAATTACTATGTTTATATTAAGCATGTGCTAATTTAATCCACGCGTAAACTTGTAAATTAGTAGATAAATGATAATTTCTTAGATGACTGCATTTTATGTACAGTAGTGAAGTTAAACAAACACATTCGGACAACTTATATGGAAACGTTTATACATTCTGCCGTAGCTAGCTACAATATACAGATATCCATCCTTTACATTAATTCCCACATCAAGTACTTCCACTGATTTATGTGATAAGAAATATACTCAAATTTATCAGTTCTCTACAAAGCTGCTAACTTGACTATAAATTGCACTGAAATTATTTTAATTTTTCCATTATTTTAAGGCCAAGATCATTCATCATCATACTAAAAGAACCATATATTTCATGATTTAGACAAATTGTGAATTCTTTTGAAGAATGACTGGTAAAACGATTCGTATTCATCTGTATTGGAAAAAAAATGATTTGAAGCTAAAAGTAATTATGATTCGAGGAATATTTAGTAGAGATAAAACATTTCAATCTTTTATATTAATGAGAAGTAAACGGCAAAATCATCATAGGAATTTCGAAAAAACATGATGAAATCACACCCACCGCTTTCGAATCGGCAGTCGAACTTTGACAGCTCATTTTTTAAAATCAGAGGGGTGTGATCTATAATGTCAGAAACTAATATGTTAAGTTCATTGGCTAATTTCAAGGTTAATTCAAGTTACCTGTTCGCTTTTAGTTGGTTGATAAATTTAGCGATAAATTTTAGTTACTTAAAATAACAATGCGTTGGTGGAATAATTTCTATTGGTTACAGATGACTAGGTGTTATTCGGTCGGATAAATACGAGTTGTAGTGCAGATGATACGCATATTAATAGGTGAGAATGCTAAGAACGTTAAACAGTAATATAATAGACTGGATGCTACCAACTGGTGATATTAAGGCGGCTTTCAATGATATACCGACTGGACATACACCAACTTATACAACCGATGATAGTTACAGAGATTTTTCTAAATGGGAAAACTTAAATACTCCAACACCACTTGACAAAGAATCTGACAACTACTTCATATATCCACCGAACCCAGTAATAAAAGGTAAGTTCATCTCCCCTCTTGAGTGGAAACACATAAATCAACATTTTTTCTTAAATTAGAAACTAATCTCCTCGCTTTCTATTTCAGTTGAGCCAAGTGAAGATGATCAAATTATTCAAAACAGAGATAATTCACAATTACTTGAAGTACAATATTTAAAACCGTTGACTACCAATAGAAATGATCAAACAGTTACTCAACCTCAAATTCAGTCTCCTTTGGTTTATTTGAATTTAGAATCACATCCTAATCCATCTAATACTGAAGAAATGAAATTAGAAATATTAAATGAAACAGTATCATTGGAATCCCACATGACTCCAATTAAAAATTATAACTCAGATACTATATTTAATCACTGGTCAACAGATTCTTTATTACACTCGACAAAATTTAACACTGATACTGTCTCCTCGAATTATAGAGGCTTATATGATAATGCATATACCATATCGGAAAATCATACACCATGGTCTACATATCAAACTAATGATATTGTTATCATTCCAAATATCGATGGTAATAGTAATAATAATGGAATTATCAGTGATCAGCGAAGCTATGTAACTCCAGAAAGTGTTCCCACTTGTTCTACATGCTCTGTATCAAATAAAGCAATAGATAATAAATTTGATTTTAATCAATGTAAAAGTGAATATTGTTACAAAACCATACAGACTGAATCAAAATCTATTCATAATAAATGTCAAAAATTATCTGACCAACAAAAACCATTCATATGTGGTATATCAAGTTGTAATAAGCGTTTTGTTCGAATCGACGAACTTAAACGTCATCAACGTACACATAGTGGAATTAAACAGTTTATATGTGATATTTGTGAAAAAGGATTTACGCGAAGTGATCATTTGATGACACATCGTCGTACACATACAGGTGAACGACCATATGAATGTAAAATATGCGACAGACGATTTGCACGTTCTGATGAACGTAATCGTCATACTAAAACACATATGCGTGATAAACCAAGAAGAGGACGTAAACCTAGAAATGCATCCATTCCTTCTTCAACAACATTATCATCATATCATCAAAAGAAGTAGTAGTATCAACTAACTTTCCTAATTACAATGTACATCCATATTATTCTATGCCATTGGACCAATTATCATTTGTGCACAGAAATACCACAAATAACAATAATATTGTGTAGTTGTATAAAATATTAATCACACTATGATAATATCCTCCTCTCTATATCTATTCCTATCAGTTTGTACAGCCCCGACCGCCGAAGTTCCTCATTCAAACCCAATTATTGCAAGATAATCTTGATTTCATGTAGATAATGATTTTGATTATATAGATCTTTAACACATCCTATGTTCTATGCATTTGACCTACTACCATTACACTACTCAATAATTCATTGCTTCCCTGACATCTCATTGAATCCAGATGAATTATTTCGATTCACCATACTCCCAAGCAATCCTCATCACCTAGAACTATATAATAAATGCCTTTATTACTGCTTTTATTATTTTCATCATCATTGTTATTTTTTATTTCATATTAATTTAAAATAAAAGGAAATTGAAGTAAGTCTTTTTCATGCTAGAGAAAAGTATAAGATATTGAGAGTTTTAACCAAGAAACAGAGAATAATATACATTATAAATAATAATTTCCAGTCGTTTTTATAAAATAAATGGATTGTGATTATTAGCAGTGTAATCCAGGACATCCGTTTTGTTCTATTCGGGATTTTTGCACTAGTTAGATTTGTGTTGGTCACATCGGGACTTAAAATTGAAACCTCAATATCAACAGTGAGATAATTTTGAACCTTACTAAAACACCTTTAAAACAAGCGAAAAAGATTAATTTAATTACTACAGTTAGTTGGCGAGACATAAATGCTGGTCAGATATAGCATCGGCAAAACTATACAAAACTGTGTCTGAGACATTAGAGGTGATCTTGAAACCCATACACCTTATAAACCAGCGAGTAAACGGATCACCAGGAAGTGACGAAATCTAAACTTGTTTGTTAGTTAAGGATTTTTCACGATTTATGATCGATTTTAACTATCTTAAAGGGGACTGTTTTTGTCATAAAAACTCGGTAAATAATTGGATAGTTTATCGAGTCAGAAATACTTTTATAAACGATTTATAATATTTATACAAAGAATATGAATGGTTGATGTAATGACTTTTTAATATCAATGAACCATTCATTATGTTTCGGATATAATTTACACCAATCATAAGCGACCTAATTTTCAAGTAAATGTATCTTAAAAAGCCATCTGCACAAAATGAATACATACTCTTTGAGAAGTCACTATTTCAATCTTGGTTGGTTCAACACCATATCATTTATTACTGTGAATTTATTAACTAGGGCCATCTGTCACATTTTCAATAATCGAGTAACGTTATATCTAACATTTCAATTGGTGAGTGCCACATATTGAAGTGTAATTTTCACTAGAGATTTCATTTCAAGCGATTAGAGTTATCAAAAATTGCTGTGTATGAACATGTCACTGTAGGACAGTCCAATATACAGGATAAAAAACACAGATACATATAATTTTAAAATCAGATCTTGAAATGAAATCTCTAATGAAAATCACATTCCAATATGTGGCAATCAAACACTAATTCAAATGAAAAAAATAGCTGAAAATGATGGTTTAGTTTTGTGTTAAGCTGTAAAGATATACATTTTTGTAAAAAAAAAAGCACATTAAAATTCGGTATTTGATTCAGGACGGCTAATCAGGTCCCATATTTGGAATAAATTCATGCTAATTTCTAGATATAAAATAGGATGTGAAACTTCTACTTTTCTTAACACCATAAACAAAATACAATAACATCTTATGAAAATTAATTCAATTTAGTAGCATCTGTCAATGATTGGAGTAAACAGCCATATTATATAACCGGAAAGCGTTAAGTTCTCCATAAAATACCACACAATTTATAGGCAAAAAACCATATGAACGAATAAGTTCGTATAAATCTGTCGATAGCGTCCCCGGTAAAAATATTATACGATGAGGAACCGAATCTCTGATATTATGTCAATGTTGAAGAGATAACTGATATGTACCTAACTGTACCGGTAAACACAAAGTCTAGTTCTAAAGCAGTCTATTGAGTCCCTCCAACACTCAGACAAACTGTGCAGAATGACTTGGTATCATTTTACCACTACCAGTAACTCACTTTACAGACACGAATTGTGTGATTTGACCCTAGATCACATTCCAGTTATGGAGACTACTGGTACTACCACCCTGTTGCTCAAATCGAATCATGTAGAAGGGAGTATGAGCTAGATACTTACTGACCAAAAGTTGAGCCCTTGACCGCCGAGTCACCGCTTACTCTGTAAAATAATAAATCTAGGTGATAGGATCAAATGGATTATTCTCAAACCCCTTTAATAGGATACATGTAGGAATTATGAGGTAAATAATCTTTTTTGAATATTAACCAATATGTAATAATAACATAAATATACTCCTCAAACGCTTAAAAGTTTGTTACCATGACGATAATTATTTATATATGATAAAGACTTCAACTAAATCTCTTCATATATGAAACTGACAACGATGGTCTTGTTATTATCAACATTAATAATGAACCTCCCATGGTATTCCTACACAACAAAAAAAACGTAAAACTTCAGAAAATCAAAGATGATATGTGCCGTAAATTTTTTTAATGAAAATTGAATCAATAAAAGCTAAAAATAAACATCAAATATATGCACGCATATATATACATATAACATATATATATGTTACATATCGAGAAATTCAAGGTAACAGAATGTTTGAACTTAGTTATGTATGAATACAACTAACTCAAATACATATTTGAATAGATTGTACAATAAGAAAACAAGGAAAGGCTTGAATTTTGTGGCGTTCAACATGAGTTTACAATCAAATTGTATTATCCATATCTGGGCAACCTTGACGCCATACTTCAGACCAATTTTGTTTACGAAGGCGTTGTTGTATAAGTGTTTCTAGTTGATTACGTGTATTATTATCCAATAGGTCGTAACAAGCCTAAAACAATATATATTGCATACAGAAAAAGCATTAAATAAATTTCAAAAATAATTAGGAGGATATATATTTTTTGTACATCAGATATATATGGCAAAATTGAACAAATTATCACTTTTGGTGTTGATATTGTAACCTGCTCTTTTCTTGAGGAAGGAATTATTAAAGGACTAAGTGATTATATCGTGTTAATTCGGTATGAATCGAATACAAATGATCGTCACTATCTTTACGATTAATAACATCAACATTTCGGAACATTGATCATAGTGTTCGCTCTCAACGACTGGAATCAACACCATACGGTTAGATTTCGTCAGTAGTCAAGTAAACAAACTGTAGATATGAGGTTACAATTGACAAATAATTTTCTAAAACTACGCGTAGATTAATATCCTTCTAGTCCGATGGAAATAATGTGACATTGTACTATTATTCTGAATGAGACGTAATTAGTGGATTTTAATAGTGTCCTAAGGGAAACAAGTATTATTAATGGCAATTCGATGATAAGCGCACGACATTACAGATCAATTGGATTTAGAAATGTAAACTATTAAATGATAACTCAGTGGTAAAAACGCATCCATCTAAATGGGTCCTTAAAGCGTCCAAGACGAGTACGAAATAACCGTTCGCTGGGGATACCCGTTAATTCATGATGAAATTAACTTTTAAAAATTCTCACACAACCACCACAGTAAAATAGTACATAATTTAAAGTGTTTATTTCTCCTTAAATGCATCTTAATTGTTACAATTTCCTCCTACTATTTCTCTATGAATACGTGTCCACTGATTAATCAATCGTATGTATTACTGTATGGTCGTAATACTGAGATTGATAATAGTAATAATAATTCACTAATTAAGTAACGGGAAAAAACGCCTCACAACTTTAAAGCATGACATGATGCGTGGGTGGCGTATGGGAAATCAAAATTACTGATTACTGTGAGTAGCAGCAACAATAGTAGAAGCGGTAAGCGAATGAAAAAAAAAACTAATAAAATTTTTTATCTAGGCGGTCAAACTTGAACATGTACATGTATAGATTTATTTACATGTATGTCTGTTTACTTATGTTGTGTATTATGCCGCAGAATATGAGATAAAAAAATAGAATAAAACAAAACATTATTATTATTATTATTATTATTATTATTACATAATAGTGATTCGAAAGAAGGAAAAAAGAACGAGTAAATTCTTACTAGGAATACATTCTAATATATTTTTTTAAACTAACAATAATAAAAGGAGACGGATAAACAGTCGTATTTACTCTTCTTTATTCCCTATTATAATTAATTATTATCCTTATTGATTTGTCTACATTAAAGAGAAATGATTAAAAGAAGGCAATACTAGACAAATATTTGTGTTAGAGATTATAATTTAAAATATAAAAAAGAATTTAGTTTCTTTTGTTTGATTGATGCTCGGAGTTATGCAAAACAGCGACATCGACGGCAAAGGAAAAAATTTTTTTCGATAGTATAATAAGAAGACGAAGATTATCAGAACTATGTGATATATTAGCGCTAAACATTTCGAACAAACTGATCACATATATACTTGTTATTAAAACATTTATATGTAAAAATAAAAGGTCAACTAGACTGGAAATGAAGGTTAAAACGAGACAATGATAATAAGGAAAATAATGTGATAACAATTTTAAACTTCATCACTCTGGATAATAAGTCAATATTACCAGGGTAGGTTTAAGGTGAGAACAAACTGTTTTTTAGTACATTAAGGGGGTTTGAATTTTCGTATGGCTAAGGCTTCAATAAACCTTAGTATACGCCTTTTAACACTTTTGTACAACACCAGAAAAACCGAGTCCAGATCAATCTTATGATTTGTTTCAACTATGTGTTTAGCAATAGAGGATGGATGGATGTTTATCTTCTAAGTCATTTGATTTTAATAGTTGAATTCATGAGTCGATTAAAGCTAGATCAGCATGGAAAACCTGAAAACACTGGACGATCGTTTCGTCCTAGTATGGGCCACCCATGCTGGTTGACTTAGAATACGCAGATTATATAATTCTGTCTGGTGAAGACTGAAAAAATATAGTCTTTTAATCATCATAAGCAACAACCGCAAGTTCGTTCAATGAATATCATATTATTTTATAATTAATTGTTTGGGTCTGTATTTTTTCGACTTCACTGTTACCTTGTTCGAAAAAGAGATCAGAAAATCGTTTGAAAACCACATCCATATACACATTAAGCGTTAAGAACTGAGATGATGAAATTGATTGAGATTCAATTCCATAGTCTACATACAATAAAATTTTTAGCGTAGAAAGGCAACTTTTCAGAGATATCTTAAATGAACACAACAAAACTAAGAGTGACCGAAAGTAAGCCGGTTGTTTCACTGACTGCTTACAAACTAGAGGTAATTCAACTTATCAAATGTTACGCAGGAGAAGCGTTAAATGACATTTTTTAAAAGTGAAAAAATCTAAAATATGTACAAACATTAATTACTTAGTTGAATAAATGTATTTCACAGATAATCCAGTATTTAATCGGGATAATAATGATATTTTCAGATAGTTGTTAACGAATGAAAAGAGCGCAACAACTGCGTTTATCGTCAAGGGAAGAATTGTTTCATAGATTAACATAAAATGCTATAAAGGTTAGACTGAGAACAACTACGGACAATTGAATAAAACTGCTTTCAAACGAAAACTAATCTATACTTGTTTGATGAAAATATCCTAATTCTACTGTTAATTCGACTACATATATAGTACATTATAAACAATAGAAAATTTGATTTCACTAACTTGTAAATATCCAGAATTAGGGTTTTGATCTTTATTCTTTGGAGCATTTAAACGACAGAGTACAGCTAAAGCTGTTTCACTTCCAAGTCGTACTGCACTATTTTTATCTTTTATTCCGCTAAGAAGTTTAATCAAAAATGTACATAACCAAGAAGGAATTGGTAATTTTACACGCCATGCAATATGACTGGATATAACTGTAGACAATAGACGCACATCGATTACAGGATGTTCAAAACCCTATTTAAAGGTCAAAAATAAAATTGAAAGTGAAAAACAGAGAATGTTTTGAAAAAGATCAAATAAAACAGACTTGTAAATTCACTTGATATAGTTTACTTGAATTTTCTTCCCATTGATGTTTAAGACTGCAATTGATCAGTCTCTAATTGGCATATGTGCATACTGTGCGTATTGCGTACTTCATTCTAAGAAAAGATGGGTAGTGGCTAGCAGTGGATTGCAGTACAGTACATTAACTGGATAGTTTTGTGGGATTTTTTATCCAGTTTACTTTAGCGAATGTCATAACGACTCAAATAATTTACCCGTTTCAGATAAACTACTATTAAGTAATTCAGTAGACATAGCATATTTTACCAATGGTATACATATAGGGAATAAAAATTACTTTTCCAAGTAGCTCCAGTAATAGTTTAGGATTATAATTCACTTCATGATTCTCTGCTAGATAACCGACAAAGCATCCAATACATCTGTATCCTATTTGACAAATGACGGACTAAATGTGAA